CCCACGTGACGCCATCCGACGTCCCCTCCGGAATTTCACGTATAAACATATAGTTCGTCTTCGTGATGATGCCATGTACCGTTTTGGGTATTTCATTTTTAATTTTATGAAAGCTTCAAGTGCGGTTAATTATTTGTACGTGCATACAGACGATGGTGGTGTTGAAGCTCTTTTATTTGCCGTCAAACGGTTGAGCACTGCCATGTGTGTATTCTGTCGCAAAATGCGGCGAAAAGTCCTACACGACGGTAAAAATTGTGATTAAGGTGTTTACATGTCTATACTGCACTTCAGTAATGTGAATAAAATAGGAATACTCCGCACGTCTTAATTCGAAGTGTTTACTTCGATTATGACTTTAGCCGGATTAAGGTAAGCAAAAATCTCTGTTTACATGGTAGATTCTTAATCAGAGTATTGTCTTAATCGTATTAAAATCGGAGTATTGTTGTCCATGTAAACGTACTGACTGTATTAAAACACAGTTTTACTATGAAGTAATTATTAAAACATCATCCTGGAAATTACGGTGACCTTATTTTATCTATCTGTGTTGTGTCATCTTCATGCATGACTGACAAGAGCTACAAATAGCTCAGAGTGCCAACTGCCAATTAAATGGCTGTAATGGGAGATGGCATCTGCTGTGATGTTGATGGGAAATGGAGTCCAAAATGACAGTGATGACAGGAAATTGAGTCAACTGTGAGCCTGTTGGGAAATGTGCTTTGAATCGTTGGCTCCCTTTGCACAAAATGTGTTTGAGGTATGCACGTGAGACACCGTGATCCTGTTATGGTCACTGGCTCACACTCACTTGAATTCTCAACCCACCTTGAGCCCTTTATCACATGCTTTGTGTCACTGTCTATACCAGTGTTAAACCCCACTGATTGCCTTTATCCTCTCTCCCTTTCCAGCACCCAGAGGCGGACTTAACCATCAGGCAAAGGTGGGCGACCCCTAAAAAGCTTTTTATATACGAGATGGGCAGATGCACAAGCGGTTGCTGTGGTGTCCATTAATACGACAACCGTCTGTGCGTCCGTGTTGAATGTGCTTCTTGTAGAAAATGCAGTGCCCTATGATTTCCACAAAGCAGAAAAGGCAGACGGAA